TGATTACACGTAGTCGAAGGAATAACGGGGGGTGTTCGGGAGGTACCCTCTCAAATAAATCCCGCGTTCAGCAGGTAGGCATTGACTGCAGTTCGATAAGTATGCATCATATCCCACGCAGTGATGTGCTATGCGGGCAAAGCTGTGATGTAATGCGACCGCAGACCAATCAACAAAATCAGACTAATCGCCAAAATGTTTCAGTTTAAGCTGGTTCTCAGCGACAACTGACCAATTTGGTTGAAAAATCGCAAAAGCGCATGAAATGGACACATGAGATGAATACCTTGATAATGCGCGAATACTACAAATCAACTCGACTCGAAACAAATATGACTGATTACAGAAACCAAATATACTTAGCATTCAAACAGAAATATCCAGAACTAAATGTAACGGAACAAAGAATTGCAGACCAACGGCGATTCTTAGCAAAGAATAATAAAATATCCCCAATAGAATTACAAGAAATCAAACAACAAGTGGCACGTGAACTATCCTTAAATGAAACAACTGAATTAAATACCACAGTAGAAGTAGTGCCAGAAATAGAAGAGACACCTACAACAACAGATAACAGAATCGATACAAATGATGAAATAAAGAGAATAACAGCAGAAAATGAACTAAAAACATCTTTAGAACAATATAAAGACTTTGAAATAGAATTCAGACCTAAGCTACCAAAAATAAGAAGTGGCGTTAAAACAAGGTCTACAATAATAACAATTAATGATATACTTAAAAATTACATTGAAGATAATATGTCGTTGAGCGCGATTAATACAATAACGTATTGTGCAGCAGTAGCAGTATCGAGACTATTAGGTTACAAAATAGAACGCATGTCAACAACAAAACAAAATCATGAAAATATGATACCTAAATGGCAAAAGCGAATAGAGACACGTATAGAAGGGAAAAGACAAGTAATTGGAAGAATAACGCAAGTGTTAAATGGAAACAAATCAAAAAGACTTAACCAATCACTGAAAGATATATACCGATTATTACAGACAAAACCTGGAAAACCTGAATTTGAATCAATAATCCGAAATTACAACGACACATTAAAACAAAAAGTTCAAGCACTATCACAAAGAATCAGAAGATATAAACAACAAAGCGAAAGACGAAAACAAAATACAATGTTCTATAATAACGAAAAAATGTTCTATAGAAATCAAAATAAAATAAATTCAAGCAATATTAACAATACACCACAAATAGATGAAATAGAAAACTACTGGAAAGAAATCTGGAGTAACCCAAAGGAATATAAAGAATCTAATTGGATAAATGATATTGAAGATGAAAATAAAGAAATACCACATATGACTTCAGTAAATATAATAAAAGATGACTTAACCGAAGCCCTCAAGAAATCCCACAATTGGAAAAGCCCAGGACAAGACAAAATACAAAACTTCTGGTACAAACACTTTACAACAATACATGAACCAATGGCAATAGCAATGGATAAAATAATACAAACAGGACAAACCGATGACTTCCTCACTTCCGGAATAACATATCTACTCCCAAAAACAGAAAATACATCAGATCCCAGCAAATATAGACCAATCACTTGCCTAACAACAATGTATAAAATCCTAACATCCATAATATCAACAAAAATATATAATCATTTAAGCAACAACAACATAATAGCTGAAGAACAAAAAGGCTGTATAAAACACTCAATGGGCTGTAAAGAGCAATTAACAATAGACAATATCATAACAATAAGAGCTCGTCAAAAACATAGAAATCTTGAAATGGCATACATAGACTATAAGAAAGCATTTGATTCAGTCCCACATAAATGGTTATTAAGAGTGTTAAAACTATATAAAATTGACAACACACTGATAAACACATTAGAAAATATGATGAAAAAATGGAAAACTAAATTGTGTGTCAATATAAATAATGGAACAAAAATAAGTACAGAAATTAAAATAAACAGAGGAATATTTCAAGGCGACTCGCTCAGTCCTCTGTGGTTCTGCTTAGCCTTAAATCCACTGTCATCATTACTCAAAAAGTTAAAAGGCGTAAATCTAAAGTCAAATGATACAAAATATAATCTAACACATCTACTATATATGGACGATTTAAAACTATACGCCGAAAAAGAATCTGATTTAAATGCAATGATAAAAACAACAGAAACTTTCTCCAATGACATAAATATGGAATTTGGATTAGATAAATGTGCTATAATGAAATTGAAAAGAGGTGTCTACTCAGAAAGACCTGAGTACGAAACTGATAATGGATATATAAAGGCACTAGAAAATGGAGATATATACAAATATTTAGGTATTAAACAAATGCATAAATCTAAAATGACAGCAGTTAAAGAAGAAATAAAGAAAACATTAAATCAAAGAATCATTAAAATACTAAAATCTCAACTAAACTCAAACAACAAATTCAAAGCCATAAACACTTGGGCAATACCTGTACTGACATACTCGTTCGGAATAATAAAATGGAGTAAAACAGAACTCGAGACCATCGAAAGACATATAAGGCGACAACTTACAATGTTTGGAGTACACCACCCTAGAAGTTCTGTAGCACGACTATGTGTTAGTAGAAAACATGGGGGTAGAGGGTTACTAAACATTGTAAGCCTTGAGGCCAAACAGCGAGAACTGTTGAGAAAATACCATCAACAAAAATGCTATGTCTCAGAGCTCCACAAAATAACATCAACACTCGATTACAACTACACACCTCTAAACCTCAGCAATATTGAACATCAAATAGATATACAAAATGAAAAAGAGAGGATTAACACATGGGCCTCAAAAGAACTCCACGGAAGATACCGGGCAGAACTCAACCAAACACACGTAGACGAAGAAATGTCTACAAAATGGTTGAAGTACGCCGGTCTTCACGGAGAGACAGAGGGGTTCATGATGGCAATACAAGATCGAGTGGTTCCGACCCGTAACCATCAGAAATATATCCAAAAGCTAAACATACCAACAGACAAGTGCAGGATGTGTCATATGGAGTCCGAAACAATAGAACATATACTAAATGGGTGTAAAGTACTCACAAATACCGAGTACCTAAGCCGTCACAATCAAGTAGCCAAGATCATACATCAGGAACTGGCAATAAGATTCGGACTAATCAAAGACCCATTACCATACTATAGATACGAGCCACAAAGTGTAATGGAAAACAACAGTGCCAAGCTCTACTGGGATAAAGAAATAAGAACTGATAAGACTGTGGCCCACAACCGCCCAGATATAGTCATAGTAGACAAACATCAAGATAAGGCGTATATAATAGACATAGCGGTCCCACTAACACATAAATTACAGGACACGCATAGTGAGAAACGTCGGAAATATACAGACTTGGCCTATGAGATCAATAAGATGTGGCGCATTAAGAAAGTTGAAATAATACCTATAATACTGTCATCAATGGCCGTAATACCGAAAAATCTGGCCCTAAGTATGGAATCACTTCAAATAAGAAAAACTAAGATCTATGAAATGCAAAAAGCAGTGATACTTCAGAGTTGTAGAACAGTCAGAAAAGTACTAGACTTGAGTTGAGTCTAACCAGTCGTGTCTCTGCCACCAAAAGTGGCCGACACAACTGTGATCACACCGGAACAACCGTGATATACAAAGATAATAATAATAAATAATAATAATAATAATAATAATAATAATAATAATAATAATAATAATAATAATAATAATAATAATAATAATAATAATAATAGATAGTCAAAAGTTTAATTTAGTAAACTAAACTTTAACTTAAAATGTTTAAATGAAAAATATATTTCACTTACAACCAAAAACAAAAAAAAAATTAAAGATACAAAAAAATAAATAAAAATAAATTGTTTCTCAATTGAAAACTAATTTCTAGGAATTGAAACAAAATTATTTTCTTCAAACATTTCTTCTAATTCTCTCTTTCTCTCTCTCTCTCTCTCTCTCTTCTCTCTCTCTCTCTCTCTCTCTCTCTCTCTCTCTCTCTCTGTTGAAACAAATTACTTAACATTTCAATCACATATCACTCACACACATACAGAATATTCTCTATGTATGTGATTCTCTCTATACTATTACTATACACTGTATTATCAATAGATTGAAAGCGCAAACTCATAGACACTATAGTGTAGGCATCGACGACACACACACACACATAGGATATATATATAATATATTATATATATATATATTTACAGACAAATAGACAGTCAACACACAGTCATCTACCAGAGTATATGTAAGAGAGATATCTGCAAACAAACTAACAAAAAATTTCATAGATTTTTCACTATTTCTAGATATTATATTTGCCCCCCGAAAAAAAATATTATTACTATATATAATAATAATATTGTAAATAATATTTAATCACAAATTTAACTATTTTAACTAAAATAGTTTGATTAAATATTTGACACTCAGTTTCATTTATATATATATATATATAAATTTATAAAACTAAATATATTTATATATATATATATTTCAAGTAACTTTCAGATTATATTTAATAAGAAATATTTTTATTAATAACAATCTATGATAATAACAATCGAGTTTAATATAAGTGGTTGTGAATAATAAACAAAGTATATATATATATATTAAGATTATTATTATTATTATTATATAATTCAATAATAATAATAATAAAAAAAACTCTTCAAACCAAACAAACAAAAAAAACTTAATTAATTTTTAGTATATTATACAAACAACTTATATATATATATTTATTTATAAGTATATATATAAAAAAAAAGTTTTTTTAATCGATTAAAAAAAAGTCAAATATCATACTTATTATAATAATAACAAAATACTTTATATCCATAATAATTATAATAATAATTTTGAACAAAACTTTTATCTACTTTCTAAATATTTCATTAATTGCTAATTAATTGAATAAAAATTTTACTTAAAATTTTTTAAATTTAAAAAAATATATATATAATGAATACAACAAGTTTTATTTGGCTAATCATATCGCTAACCATTATTAACAATCAACTTATACCTGTTAATACATATAAAGTAAGTTATTATTATTATGTTTTTTAAAAAATAATTATTTATTTATTAAGATAACATATTTAATGTTAAGTTATTGTATGTATAACTTATTTTATGATAATTTTTTGCTAATATTTTATTATAATTAACAACAATGACAACAATATATATAATATAAAAATTATTTTCATATAAATTGTATGCAAATATTATTGTAAATATTATCATAATAACAAACTATTAATAATAATAATAATAATAAAAACCGTTTAAATATTTTTAACAAATGTTTGAAAATATTTTTCAATTTCAAGTAATAATTTAAACGTTTAATTTAATTATTTATTTACATAATGTTTTATATTATTATATGTTTATTATATAAGCAGCAAATAATTTGAATATTTTTACCAAAACAATTGCATTTATTGTTTTATTATATATATATATTGTTTTAAATGTTTATTTATATTTGACTGTATATTTTAGTATTATTATTATTAGCTATTAAACAGAATATAATAATAATAATATGATAATAAAAAAAATAGTTTTTAAAATAGTTTTACTTATAGCTATACATACTGTACATACATACACATAGAAACACACACATACTTACATACACATACATATACACACACACACATACATACACACACATACAAACACACACACATACACACTCATACATACACAAACACACAAAAACATATACACACACATATATATATAAAATTCATTGTTTATTTTGTTTAAAATTTACTATAATTAACTGTTAAACAAAATTATTTTTTTAAAAAAAAATATTTTTAAGTATCACACATACATGCAGCAAATATGTGTCATACAGTAAAGTACTATTTAAAGGGCACATTATATAATAAATATTGTCTTATATAATATACATTATAATATAATTTATATTGTACCAGAAAAAAAATATTATTTATATATAACATATTTAATATTAAAAACAAAACACAAATAATTGCTTGAATTTAAAATGCTATCTTAAACTAAAATCTATTATATATGCTATATATATATATATATATATATATATATATATATATATATATATATATATATATATATATATTAGTCAAATATATATTAGTTTTACGCGCCAATAGTTTGCATATATATATATATATATTTTACATATCAATACATATATCGTAAATATCTATTATATGTTTTGCTATTTTATGCCATAATATATCTCTCAAAAAAATATGTGATTAGATTTTTTGATTTTTGTTTTGTGTATATGTTTTTTTGAGACATGTTTTAGGACATATATATACTATATATATATATATATATATATATATATATACTGTACATACAAACACATAAAATACTTTGAGGCTATTAGCGGATAAAATTATTATAGTAAACAAAATAATAAACTTTTGGTGTTTCAAAGTTATAATAGTTTTTTTTGTGTCAATTAATAAAACAAAACATTGTTATTAAAAACAGTACAGTATTTTCTGTACTATAAATTAATTATATATTTATATAGATTTTGTTAGTAAATATCTAATAAATACTGTATGTATATAAACTGTAGATTGTTTTTATTTACATTATTAAAAAAAATATTTTCATTATAATACTAAAACTATGTGTATATAAATTATATTAATATAATTGTTTATTTTTAATTATAGAAAAAATAATTAGAACTGATTTTTTTAAAAAATAATAATTTTTAATTTATTTTAATAATTTATTTTTTTTATTAAATTTATTTCTATCTCAACAAGATAAACTTTTTATATTATAGCTATTTTTTTACATTACGTAATATATAGAAAATAAATTATATTTACAATGCACTTGAAATAATATACAATATAAGAATTTTTTACATTTTTAAAAATAAATCATTTTTTACTATTTATATAAAATAAATCATTTTTTTAGTATTTATAAAATTAATAATTGTTTACTATTTATCTTTTATTGTTAGCCTATGTAATAATATATATATATATATATTAAAAATTGTGTATTTTTGTGTGTATTATCAATATTTTCTATTAATAGTTTAAAGTTTAAAATACTATCTGTATATATATATAATATTATTTTTTTGAAAAAATCATAACATTAATAATATTAGATATTTAATAATAATATTTTATTAAACTAGTTTTAGATTTTATAATTAATTATTGGTTTATTATTATTAATAATTATTTATTTAGTTGATAACTATTTTATGTAAATTATTTGATTAATAATCTGTTTGTAGGTGTAATATATATATATATTAATATTTAAATTAATATTTCTAAATTTAAAAATAGTTATTAATACTCAAACAAAACAAATAAGTTTAATAAAATACACACTTTTAGACACACATAGAAACGTTAGATAAACACTTAAAAATTAATTATTATAATTACTTTCAGTCTATGTTTGTATAATACTGTATAATCATATTATATATCGTATATTAATATAATTTATATCTTATAAGTTATATCTGACAACTTTAAGCCGTTTCATAATTAACTCTATCTCTCTCTCTCTCTCTCTCTCTCTCTCTCTCTCTCTCTCTCTAATATTACTATACAAACAAATAGTCAGACATAACAAAAACAAAACAAAAAAAGTTTTTTGTTATTTTTCTCCACAATATATTAGTTAAGTAATAAACTTATATTATGTACGTACAGTGTATTTGTGTGTGTATGTATGTGTGTGTGTRTGTGTGTGTATGTATGTGTGTGTGTGTGTGTGTGTGTGCACTATATATAAACTGTGTGTATATTAGTGAAAAATATGTCATAAAAATAATTACTTTATATATATATATATATATAATATTTTTAGTTATAGTATATTATTATTATAAGTAAGTATTTTTATTTAATGCGACAATATCTTCATGACTGACAATAATTAAAAAAATATATATTATTTTTTACACTATATATGTATTATATAATAAAGTTGTCTCTAACTTTTTTTTATATACATATATTAAAAACTTAAATATAACCAACAAAAAAATGTTGTCATAAAAATCTAGGGCACACCTAATAATGATGACACGCCAGTCATATATTGATAAACAAATAATTTTAATAAAAGATTATTTTGTTTTTTTTGTTTATTTTTTTTTACTTAAAAAACATAATTAATTTATATTATAAATTAATTCTGAATTATAAATAAAATTTCAATTAATTTATTATTACAGTACTACTACTACTACCAAAAAATTATTTTTTATTTATTTTAATATCACTATTGATTATAAGGTATTAAATTAAATTATATATAAACTAGAAATAATTTTTTTTATTGATTTTTATTTGTTTTCACAAATAGTAATAATAATAATAATAATATTTTTAATGTAATTCAAAATAAAAATTATTATTATAATAATATCGATAATAATGACGACAACGAAACAAAAAAAATTGTTATTTATAAATCTACTAAATATTTTTTATCAATAATTATTAATGGATATTATGTGACCCAATAATACTGAAAAAAATAACATATTTTAATTTAATTTTATTAAATAAATTGCCTTAAAATCTATTACTATCAATGCATTAACTATAATAATAATATTAATAATAATATATTATTATTATTATTATATTATTATTATTATTATTATTATTATTATTATTATTATTATTATTATTATTATTATTATTATTATTATCGTATATTTTTTGTTTTTGTTGCTCTTTGCATATGATTATTGTTTTTTTAATCAAAAACATTTAGTTTATATTAGTTAAGTGAATGTGAAAGAGATAAACATTTATCAATAAAATAATAATAATAATAATATATAGTTTATAGCATTTCCTACAAAATAAAACATACGATATATTAATATAAATTTGAGATAAAACATAAAACATTTATAGTAATAGACTATTGATTTATATATATAAACAGTATATACTGTATAACAAACACATAACATGCTGTGTATTATTACATAATAAACAATTTTAAATCAATTTGTTTAGTTATTTTAGTTATGCAATAATATTCTGTAATATTCTGTATTGATTTTTTTGATTAAATTTTTGTTTTGTTTTATATTGTATTACATTATATAACATTTTTTATTAATTTATTTATTTTTATAAAAAAATTAAATTTTTATCTGATGAACATTGACATTGATTTTTGGTACACACATAAACACAATACAATATTTTTGTTTATTATTAATAATAATAATACTATTTATTTTTTATATTCATTTATTTTGAAGATATAAGTAGTGAAAAAAAATATTATATTTATACAAAAAATAAAAAAAAATAAAATCAATTGAAAAATCAAATACACTTTTCTTATTTTATTTTTTTATTGTAAATCTTACCAACAAAAATAAAATTCATTGTAATGACATAAAAGTGATAGACATTTGACGGAAAACATTGAGAAAGAGAGAGAGAGAGAGAGAGAGAGAGAGAGAGAGAGAGAGAGAGAGAGAGAGAGAGAGAGAGGAAAATACATTAAACTGTTAAACATTGAAAAGTTTCTTTTTTGTCACTTACAGTACTGTATATACAGTATTGAAAGGGAACTGTAGTTTTTTTTGCTATTGTTGTTGTTGTTGTTTGTTTGGTAGGGTAGAGCTGACATGACTTTTCCTCCAAAAATTTTTTTTATATTATTTAAAATTTTTTAAAGTTTTTTTTGTGGAGTCAATGTCTCGTTTGATTTGCAACAACAACAACAGCAACGCTAACATCAATAATAATATTAATTTGTAGACAATTTTATTAATTTTTTATGTGTTTGTTATTAAAGTTTACAACAAAAAAAGTTTTTTATTTTTTGATAGCAGTTATTAATAATAATCAAAATTATTTATTGATTTTTGTTGTTGTTGTTGAAATGTATGCATACATACATACAAAAAAAACTAAATATTTTTTTGTTGTTGCATTTAATCCATTAAAATATTTTATTTTTATTATCGAAATATATTTGATGACAACTCTCTAGTGTTG